GGCAACGCAAGCCTATGTTTGTTCCTAGTGTTCACATTGTGCAAATCGCAGACTCTGGGGAATTCTTCAATGTTTTTACGCACGTACAATAAATTCTCAAAAATGTATTGCGACGCTAAAGTTAAAATTTTGATTTCCTTAAACTTGTCCCTCAAGGATTCCCTCGGGTGCATATTATAAATAGCACGAATAGCCCTCTTCTGCAGGATGAAAATCGTTTCGACATCGGCAGCATTGCCCCATAGCAAAATGCCATAGGACATAACACTATGAAAATAACTAAAATAAACCAGGCGTGCCGTATCTTCATTAATATACATTTGTATTTTTTTTACCGCAAACAAATTTGTTCATTGGAGGCATCGATTTGCAGTATACGTTCCCGTGTGGTTGAAGGATTCAAATCCTGTAAGTAACCTCAAATAGGAGGTGTTCGCGCCTAGGGTACGTCCAGGGTATGTGAGACTTGACGATCTGCAGATGATGGGAGCAGACCGCGGGCCCAAGGATATTTTTAGGGCCCTACCCACCAAACTAGTCTTCTTGCATTCTGTCACTTGACGTTCAATCTCCGCCCGGGGTCAGTGTGCTTAGGGCGAGTTTTTTAACGTTCTCGATAGCGTAAAAGTTAACTCAAGTTTGTATGGAGTTGGAACGTTTGCCTACGTTTGTCGGTAGGTTCGCTGTTAAAAAAACGTTGTTCCCGCGGTCAACACTAAATCAACACATAGGTACCTAACACGTGCTACAACCTAACACGTGCTTACAAATAACTTCCCATTTTTAAATCATATGATAATTAAAGTATAAAAATTCTATACATATATTAACATTATAGACATAGAATAGAATACTTCATACATATAACTACCAATTAGTGAAAATAGCCCCACAGACACAGCCTACTGAGTTTCTCGCCGGATCTTCTTAGTGGGTCGAGTTTCCGATCCGATGGTAGATTTTGCGAAGCACTGCTCTTGCTAGGGTTCGTGTTAGCAACGTCGTCATGTTTGAGCTCCGTGAGCTCAACTACTAGTTAAGGTTACGCTGAAATAGCCTCTTAAGGCTATCAGCATAGGTAGCGGAAAAAAGTGAAAAAGCGCATGTGGATACGCTTTAATGAGATAGGCAGCGGCTTGGCTCTGCCCCTGGCCCCTTTTTTTTATGCCCCTTTTTTAAAGATCACACAAAATATACTTACATTACGTAGGTAGATTATGGGAATATTTTCAAACACAAAACTCTATACTAAAATTCACAAAAGGAACAAAAAAAAGGGTTTTTACCCTATAAATCAATGTCGGAAAGGAAATAATAGTTCAAAACAGAAGACGGAAATACGTCAATTAAAAATTAAAAGACGCGGCGTTCCGTAATAATGGAAGCTGAGTGAGGTGAATTAATATCGGAAGTGGGAAAAAAACTCGTCCCGTTACAGACGGTCTCGCCTACAGAACTCTCTTCTTGTCTCGGGCCGTCGTTTTTTTTTGCAATCTTGTCGATCATTAACCCGTCTGGTTTGTGATTGACATGCCTAAAATAGGAGCGCGTCCTCACATAGCAGACAGTGTGACCGATAAAAATAAAACTAGCGTGTGTTAGGGATTTTTAAACGTAACGCCAAAAACATTACTAAAATGGCAGAAATTTACACGTGAATTCTCATCTATGAAGTTTTCATAGTTAAATTCACGTGTAAATAAAGTAAAATATATAAAATAAAATTACGTATGTAAATGTAATTCTGCTGTTAAACTTTAAGAAACACTCCAAAAACTATTTTTCAAAAATTAATAAGTAATTGTCATAACAGACCGCGACGGGGCAACGCAAAGCAGCCGTCGCCCAAAACATGTTTTGTCGGATCCCCCGGATTCACTCTCGGTGCCATCGATATATCGATGCTCGGTGCTTTTAGGTCTCTCAAGCACCGGTCACCGTCCTCGTCGAACGAACGAACCCATAGATAGACACAGCCCACTGAGTTTCTCGCCGAATCTTCTCAGTGGGTCGCGATTCCGATCCGGTAGTAGACTCTGCGAAGCACTGCTCTTGCTAGGGCTAGTGTTAACAAATTCTCTCAGGTTGAGCCCGTGAGCTCTTACTACCAGTGAATAGGTAAGAAAAAAGAAATTGTACTTAACATCATTCTACACTAACCATAGCCCAAGTTCACAAGAATATCTACAGACAACAAACAAAATAAATTCTACTAAAAAAAAAAGAAGACGCTATATGGAAATACAATTCAATTATAACAAAAATACAATAAAGACGACGAGGAATAAAAAAGAAATAACTTGAACAAATTATAATACAATGAAGTTAATTATAACAATCATTTCAACAAGGGTACCAATTTTAATAATAATATTGATAGCTTCACGGTATTTTTCTGTGTATTCTTTTTTTTAAACTAACCACTCATGGCATTAATTAGTGCCTGATGCATTATTTCTACCAGTAAAGCTAGTATTAGTGCACTCATCACGGAAATTGCACATAACAGCCCTGATAGCACTTAAACTTCAAAATATATGAATAAGCGACATGCGTACCAATAGCTTGGCAAATGACAGTTTTATTTCGACTATGATTCTGCTTCAGACACGATTACAAAGCATTATTATTGAAATAGATATTAATGTTAAGCTAAAAAGGGTAAAAGATTGTTTAATTAAAATACAATATTTTTTTTGTTATGTTACTGTTTAGCCAGATTACCTTTTTGAAGCACGAATTGAAAAAAATTGCCATAAATTTTAAACATTGGTAACCATCGTGAACTGGATTAACTCGGAAACTGAACAAATGCAATTTAATCAGCTTACAACGTCAAACACAACGTCTTTAATCTATATATTAATACGTGAAGCAAAAACTTTGTATCTGTATGTAGATATAAGTGGTTGTCTATGCCGATTTACAATTCTACCGCCAAATAATTATTAAACTATAAACTTTATGGGCTTGATTTTTATTACACGAAGTTAATGCTTCATCGTCAAAGTCATTCGTAAAGATATGGTAAGTTTGTACATATATCCTCAGGATAATGGGTATTATTGGGATCTGAACAGCGACATACGGTGGTAAACACGTGTTTAATCCGTGAAGGTTGCAAAGTCGATAAATTTACCTTATTACTAATGGAAAACGTATTGTAAGCTTACACGGGAAGAAAGCACCAAATGTCCTGTCAGCAGCAAAGAAAACTTTCGAAGGATAAGACATTATAGAATATTATTGTACTAGCGGAGCCGTCACAAGCACACACAGCTCTTAAATAGTAAAATTATAAACTTTATTTAAAAAAAAAATTATAAAAAAAACATTTCGCAGTTTCGGACCCAATTGTGAATCTATACCATTCTCAAATCCACTTCAACGTACACGAAAAAAATTAATCCCCATTCAGGAGAAGTTCAGTCACATACACGCACAGAAAAAATACCTATATATTAAGTATATTATTATAAAGATCGATTGATCGAAACTACTTTTAGAATTTAAGCTTGAGTTGATTATTTTTATTTTGAGCACTTACTTTGTAAAGTATCTACTGACTGTAGTCTTTCATTTTGAACACTTACTTTGCGATCTTCATATTATGCGAAATCTACCGGTAATTTAATTTATATAACATTTTGCACCTCTCTAAACCGCTGCACCGATTCTAAGATGAGATTTTTTACTGGTGGTAGGACCTCTTGTGAGTCCGCGCGGGTAGGTACCACCGCCCTGCTTATTTCTGCCGTGAAGCAGTAATGCGTTTCGGTTTGAAGGGTGGGACAGCCGTTGTAACTATACTTGAGACCTTAGAACTTATATCTCAAGGTGGGTGGCGCATTTACGTTATATATGTCTATGGGCTCCAGTAACCACTTAACACCAGGTGGGCTGTGAAATCGTCCACCCATCTAAGCAATAAAAATAAATAAAATATATATATATATAGTTCTTAAAAATTCACTTTTATATAAAATTTTATACGAAAATATTTTCACTCGTTAATTCAGAATAGAGTTTAGACTATAGTAATCTGGAGCGTGTATTGTCAAAGCGAGTTGTGACTTCCGGAAGTGTCAATGAAAAAGAACTAAAATGAGAATAGACGATACATCTGCTCTGAATAACTCACTCGCAGTGTAGATGTAGACACACCGATTCTTGTTGCAAATTGCTTATTTTCTAGATGTTAAAATAAGTAAAAATAGTAAACGAAATGCTTTCCGTAAACTCTCATCCGTGTAATAATTTTATACTATTACTGGCGGCCCGCTCCGGCTCCGCTCGGGTATTTAACAAAAATTTCAACGATGTTTGACGTTGTTTTTTTTTTTAAATAAAAGAATACTTAATGTGACATAACTATAATAGTTAGACATGTGCTGCCGCGACACTTTTTGTAAATAATAATGCGTTCTACAAATTCGTAGTACATTATTTTATTCTATCATCAATAGTTTTCGCAGGGCACGCGATGTAAAGAATATTTTAGGTAATTTCGTTACACCTTGGGTTACATTATTAAAGTTTTAGTAAGGATCCCTAATTTTTTCAAAAAAGATTATAAGTCTATGTCACTCGGGAATAGTGTAGCTTCGAAACAGTGAAAGAATTTTGCAAATCGGTTCAGTAGTTTCGGAGCTTATTCAATACAAACAAACAAACAAATCTTTCCTCTTTATAATATTAAGTATAGATGAATCACAGAAATAAATTATTAAAAATTAATAAAAATCGTTTGCCCTTCAATCGAGCATGTTCAAATGCTTTTATATTTTAACTCGTTTAGTAATAATACGTTAGAAAAATGAGGATACTTGCCTCAATCTTACAGCGATAAGATATTTTCCATATTGGAAACGCTACTACGTTTTTCAATTACGAATCAATGAAAATTGAAAAACCAGCGCCCGCGCAGCTTAATAGACTACTCCAGTGAGTTTCGTCGAAGACATGTTTATTGCGGGAGCATAGATTATACACTTATACACAATAGTAAGCAGTTACGCGCCAACCACCGCGTGAAGTGCATGGACGCGCTCTAAAGATAAAAAAGTTTAAGGAAATGTCTATGAAAAAACATTAATAAAAGTTAGTTAATCTCGTGCATCACAAAAAAAAATGGTAAGTAATTATGTGAATTTATTTTGTATTCGAAGCATCTTTTGTTGGCACGTGCTAAATTGATTACCGCGTGTATCACCACCTGTTTGTCAGTTAACCTTCCGAAAACAATTACTTTCAAGAATAAAGAAATAAAAATATTAAATGAATAAAATAATGATATTAAATGCAATAATTTAATTGTTACAAAAACGATGAATACGTCATGAACTTTGAAATTTGTAAATTAACGTATATTAAATGAATATTTTTTTATTTAATTATTATTCAATTTTTATTTAATTAAACGCGTGATGTTAAATTACTATCGAAATAAACCTATAATAAGTCCGTGTAGTGCTTGACTCAACAGTTTTCCCTACAAAATAACCGAAAGATCGCAGGATTTTTAGATAATTCACACGCGTTTTATTTTTAAAAGGCCTCATTAATCTTATATAGATCATAAATTTATGAAGCCGAAGTACATTCTGAAACATTTGTAAAAATTCAAATAATCTAGACGGTCATTCGCGGATTGAATAATCTATCATGATTCGTCTGAATAATCTGTCATTCACGCCCAATTTACTGCGATAAACTTAGTTAACAATAGCCTTGAGGTTTTATTTAACTTAGTTAACAATAGCCTTTTATATATATTTACTTATAGTTAAGAAAACATCTTGGATCTTAGAAACTTCTTCTTTTTCTCCACCTTATCCAACTAGGTGGGGTCGGCACCGCTAATTTTTCTCTTTCATTCTCTTCTATCAGCCGTCATATCAACACTCACTCCTCTCTCTCATATCGTCATTCACACACTCCATCCAAGTCTTCTTCGGTCGACCTCTTCCCCCTCTACCTTGTACTACCATTGCCATACATCTCCTAGTCACATGCATGCATCTTCTCTCTACGCATCACAGGTCCTCTACGCGTCATATGTCCAACTTCTTACATCACAGAAACGATAGTAAAAAGTTCTATTACTGAATTTACATAAATTGTACTGATTCATATTTATCGGTGTCCTTGTTTTTGCTAATATCTTAAACTGTTCAAATAACAACACTATCGTTACAGGCAGTACATTGCTTCTCAAATATTACTCAGGTTTAAACATAAACTGTCAAGTTACGAGCATATTTAATGCATTTTTAGAACTGAACTTGTAGGTAGTTTTCCAATTACAGAGCATAATGCGACTCAGTGACGCACAGTGCCGAATTATGCTGAAGCTTAATTGGAACGTGAATTAGTTTTCAAATGCATCAGCAGAGTGCGCTAAGTTAGCACAGCACAGTTTTAATTAACATTCATTATTTCTAAGAAACTACGACGAAACGAAAGCCTTACAATTTTTTTCAACATTAAATAATATTACTAACGATAATATAAACAAAATTTCGATCAATGCCAACTTAAAGAAAAAACACTTGTAAATTTTCTGTCACTGAGTCGGTAATGATTGCGAGTATCACGCGAGAGCAGTACTTTTGAGAGTGCTCGATTGTGCGAAGCGTTGTTGTAGTTGGAACATTCAACGTTGAGCATTATGCCGCATAATGCGCTCTTGTGCTGTAACTGGAAAACTACCATTAACACGTGCCATACGTTATTAAATTCTGACGGGAACTGTCATATGATGTTATATAGCCCTCAACTAAGGCTGTACGTTGCATTTTTTTGCTGCTCAGATAAATGAACGAGCTCACGGCTCATCTGATGTTAACCGGAGTCCATAGACATCAATGCCCCTACCAACTATATAAGGTCAAATTCTTGATTATGTTTCAAAATACATACCTGTCGGCACACGTCAGGGATGGCTGAGCGGTAGGTTCCGTCATCACTCGTATTCGATTGAACTCAGTTTAGTTAATAAAACTTTTTGAATAACAATTATTGAAACTCAACACACACAACTTTCACAATGACAGGATAAACCGACAGTTTCGTTGCACATACCGACAGACCGACTGACTGAGACGGACGGAATGACTGTCTGACACGGAANTGCACATACCGACAGACCGACTGACTGAGACGGACGGAATGACTGTCTGACACGGAATGCCACGACTCTGTCCACGTACCGCCATTTTATACTGTGGCGTTACGTAGTCTACCCTTCATTTTGTGATATTTATCAAAACAACATCTCATCATTTAAAATAATAATCAAAACCACCGTCTTAATATTACTAAAAGTCGTTCGTTATCCACGACAACTAAAAGTCGTTATCCACGACATACCTATATTTTTTCTCCTACCTACGCCGAAAGTTCGGTTTTCGTCCCGCTGTACAGGGAAGAAAGAGTAACTTTGGGTAGAAAGTCTAGTGATGTGATGATGATGATTTAATAAAAAGATGAGTTTATTAGACAGTTCTTATTAAATTAGTAATAGTTACTTTAAAAATTAAAAAGCAGTTGAATTGTTTTTTAAGAGTATATGGGGGGGCTCCCCCCCCCCCCCCCCAACCCCGGCCAGGCTTCGCCCCTGGACCCCGGAAAAAATAGTATGTGCTATGTACTATTTCTCTATTCCTGGGAGCCTAAGAGGCTATTCCAGTTTCGCGTGGACAGTCAAGTGAGTTTTGGAAAATAAATACTACATTTACATAAACAAAAGGAAACTAATAATTTGCGTATTATCTTTTAATTTAATATAATCATAGATAACTATAATAGCTTGACCAAGGCCGGCCGAGGGCAAAATGAGCTATTTCGCGTGAAGCGCCTGCGTCGAACCGGCTTTTTATCTATCTGCCATTAGCAGTGGATATTGTGACAGCTGATCTGGTGATCTGCAGCCTTTTTTTTATAGCTTAGTTGGGTGGACGAGCTCACAGCCCACAGCCCACCTGGTATTAAGTGGTTACCGGAACCCATAGACATCTACAACGTAAATGCGCCTCCCACCTTGAGATACAAGTTCTAAGGTCTCTCAGTATAGTTACAACGGCTACCCCACCCTTCAAACCGAAACGCATTACTGCTTCACGGCGGAAATAGGCTTGGCGGTGGTACCTACCCGTGCGGACTCACAAGAGGTCCTGCCACCAGTATGAGAGCCTCAAGTGGATATTCTGATTTCACCATAATTAGTGGGCGAGTTCGCGGGGCTCAACCTAACTTGCTAACATCAACTCTAGCAGCGCTTCGTTGAGTATACCATCGGATCAGAACTATGACCCACTGAGAAAATTTAGCGAGAAACTCAGTTAGTTCCGAAACGGTGGTCATGACCGCCGGGCCTTTGGGTAGTAGCTGTCATAACCTCGCCTATTGATGAAGTAACCGAAAAACACCATAGAACAATAGTGTTATTTGTGTGTTCGTTATCGTTTTGTATCTGTATATACGTTGTTCGTCGCTTTGGAGACATCGTACCCTCTTTCTGTTTTAAGTACTGTTTGTTCTATAGCGTTGTTATGACTATAGTGTTATGACTATTTTTTTCTGAAGACGCGTCATTAAAGCCTTTTTACAGACCGCAAATACGACATCATTCATGCTCTTAAACTTTACCGTCATTATTTGTAATTACATCTTCAAACGAATTTATTTTTATCGTAATATTTTTCGTAATGCCACATGAGAGCTACACCGAGAATTGCAATATTTAACGCTTTTTGAAATAATAAAAAAACATTATGAGATAACTTTTTAAATACTAGTTGATAACGCTTAGTCCGTATCAGTTTTGTCCGCGTATAAAAAAAAATTAAGATACGATAAATATGAATTTATTACAGATAATTATTATCCAAAAGAAGGTTCTAAGATGTCAACTATATTTTAAAATAATTTCTATTAAGGAATTATTTTATGAGAAATTCAGCTCAGTACATTAAATATCAATTTATGATTTTAATACACACCCAGCGTGCACTTGAGGTGCACCAAATAAAAAACTATATTTTTCTTAAGTCTCACAGCGACACGCGAGACAAAGGGTGCTGGGGCCATACGGCCTTAATGTTGCTTTTGCATAAAAAAATTGTTAGTGTATTCACTGGCCCATTGGTGGTGTATTGTGAGCCCACTCGGTGAGGTAGCCCCATTTTTCCTATTTCTACTCCGAAGCAGCAGAATCCTGGCGAAAATTCTCAAATTTTGATGTCTTTTGCGCTCCAGTAGCCACTACTAAAACTTAATTAATTAATTAGCAAGCTCATTTCTAGTACAATTTAAAAAATACCTAGATCACAACGAATCATGATTTCTATGATGTTACCAAGACAAAATTTGCACGAGCCGTTTCGACTTATTGGTATTTCCGATATTTTTAACGATTGTCATAAAAAAAGCTGTACGGAATTAATACCGTACCAATGCAAGACTGATTTATAAAAAAAAATATACCACTAGATTTGCAAGAGAAGAATTCAAATGAAGCATTTTTATCAATAGTACACAATTATTATCAATAGTAATTATTTTTTATATTATGCTGAATCGTCACGAGCTAATGCTAAATTATTAACAGCACTGATCAGCAATATAAATGCATTTACTTGTTTACGAGAACAGTAAGTAGCCTCAAATCAAACCGCGCACGTGCATTAGTAGTTCAAATTTTTATATTGTGTGTTATGCATACAAACCAATTGAATTTAGAATACTATTGTTTTTATCCTTTAAAACATAGCAATACGGTTTTTACCGAAGCTATAGGATGTTTTAGGTAAAAGAAAATCGTTCTCCGTTTCAGAACAAATATTTAATATTTAAGCGAATAACATTATTGTACTTACGTAAATATATTAAAAGCCCCGCTACATTCTATACGCAGTTTTTGCAGTGCGTTTCGAAATGTTACTCTAACGATCTGTGTGCTTAGGGCGAGTTTCTTAAGCGCCCCTAGCAGAAAACGTAGTCAAATGTTCCAACTCCATACAAATTCGAGTTAACTTTTACGATATCGAGAACGTTAAAAGACTCGCACTAAGTACACTAATCTCGTTTCGCGCGATGTATTTATTATGCTACGGCAGCTTTTTTGTGATATC